GGTATCCTGCCGAGCCTTCCTCGGTATTGCCACATGTTGAAATTCAAACACCACCAGCACGAGTCTTTCAAAAAAGGCGAAGTGTGCCAAAACTTCTTCCTCGCACGCTGATTAGAAAACAACTAAGAGATGCTCACTGTCCAGTGCACGGCCAACAGCTCAAGCGGGCCAAGCTCTACTGCAAGTGGTAGACTGGCAAGAGCAACTCTCAAAGTTCACTGCCATTCACTGTAGTCATGGGGGATAGCATTAAACTCGCCAAAGCGACTAGGAAATGGGGTGTACTCGGTGTCACCAAACTCGGGAGCACGAAGTACTGAATGGCGCGCAGACCAGTGGCGCAAAGCATTGCAGACACCGTTGAGTCCAGGCTCTTTGTCACGGTCGGGCAAGGTGCGAGTGCGTGGATCAGATAGATAGCAGTTTGGCATTTGCTGGTATGGGGTGGCGCTCACCCCTCACAACTCAATGGACCCAAATCAGATGCAGGTGGTTTTCCGCAAATGCTTTGGCAATTCATGGTTGTCTTTTGATGCTATTTGTTATGTTGTACCCACAGGAGACAAGCCACTGACAAAGTGGGCTAGGTGATCCCAGAAAGATTAGCGCAGCAGAGAAAAGTTCAACGCCCTATCGGAAAAATTGTGAGTACATTGTTGGCTTGCACAGCAGTTGCACAGCCCAGTGATCACGAAAGCTTCACAATGCAACGCGCACGGCCCGCAGTTGCCCTTCTCAGGTGTGCTGGTGTTTGCCCTAGACATGGATATACAAATCAGGATCCCTGTCTTCCCTATGTTGGCGGACCGGAGGGTTGGTCTTGTGCAAGGTTGGCATCATCGGCGCCGGGAAGATGTCCAGGCGAAATCCAGCTCGGGTCCCCCGTAGAAGTGTCAGATGGATGCATGGGCGGACGGGTTCATGGGTTGATGGTGGCTTGGTTCATTCATGTTTGTCGTCAGATGGATCGAATGCACGCACATGCATATTGGCTGAACGTGGAGCTGCTCATGTTTGATGCATAGACATGTCGATGTTTGTTCTCGAATGTATCGGACTCCTCATTCACTCTTGAACTAAGTGTTTGTTGTCCTTGCGACAGCAATACATCAGCTCCAGCCTTGTTGCATCACGAGTTTGCTGGCATGTCACTGGTGCTGCTACGCTCCAGCGCTGATTTGTTCACAGAGAGATGGAACATGCAGTCACATCACAGGCGCGACCCAAAGATTGGAACCTATCTTACATGGCGCACAAGGCATCGGTTGTCTTTGAAGCACAGTGAGGCATGTGGGCTGGACAGCAGAGATACTGAGTGGCAAGCAAACATCATTATATGAACTTTAATCTCAATGTAGGAATCTTTACATATATGCGGGTCATATTGAAAGTTGAAGCTAAATACGTGCAGCAACGCAGTCGTGGCAGCTCGTTGGGCACCTTTGGGCAGCGAATGAGAGGCACTCGCTTCGGTGTTCGCCAGGCTGTTGCTGCTGGCGCTCTTCAGCAAGCACCCAGACATCAAGGTGGGTGGTCAAAATTAAACCACCAGGAATCGGACCGCAGGTTGTTACCAGGGTTCCATTTACCAGGGTTCCATTTTGGGTACATAAATTGGACCCACAGCCAGGTGGTGCTGGTGAATCGGTCCGTGGAGAAGGCTTGGCCCTTGGCAGGATTTTTTTTTTTTCCGGAGCCTAGGTGCGGTGTAACGCGGGGTGCGGGATTTCCGGAATTTCGCAGATTCCGCGGTTGGTTGCAGGAGATGTGATGTTAGCTGGGAGAGATATGGATGGTGAGCCAATGTCCAGTTCATGGAGCCCATATTTGTGAGTTCGGCACAGGCGAGCTGTGCGCGTGCCAAATCAAGTGCCGGCTGCATTTCTGGGCACTTCCACTGCTGACCTTGACCACTACCTTTCATAGGTCTGTCAGGATCAAGCCACTTGGATTCAACCGCGCACGGGCCTCCTGCCAGCGGAAAGACGGGCCAGCTTGAGAGTTTCTTTCCACAGGTGCCGCCCATGGCCGTGGATGGGCCAAACGACTTTAAGCATCAGGTGACGGCTTGGGTCCTTTCCATTTGATGCAGGGCAAGATTGTTTTTACTCACATTTGGGGGAACCAGGTTTGAGTACAGCAACATACAGAATGTTTCTTCTGGTCTTGCAGACAGTGTGGGTGGCTACTGTTGGAACAATGCTCACAGGTGAACTGCCAAGCCTTTCTCATTTGCCTTTGTCACAGCCTCGACAGCACGTCTTCCCTCCATGATGAAAACTTCCAGAGTAGATCAAGTGTGAATTCTCACCAATCTTGGCAGCCAGTTCATCCTTCGCATGGGATGCAAAAATAGCGACCCCCTTTCAGGACCGGCTTAAGCGGCCGCACATGACAACAGCCGCACGGTTCCTTCGTTCGGCTCTAGATCCGCGCCTTTCGCCGTCTAGGCGGAGGCGGTGTTGAAGGATGACATGGTGAAAGCGCGGGGTGGCACCAATGCCACAGCAGCTGGCCCCGGAGATGTGAGAGAGGAATTTGAGCCCTAAATTATGTGTGCGTATGTGTGCGGTCGAAGCAACATGATCAGATTAGGGTACATGGAAGAGCTGAATGCGATGAAGATGAAAAAAAGGAAGGAAAAGAACACGGGACAAGTCCCGTGTGGCGTGATGGTTTTTCATGGACACAACTGAGGTGGCTGGTATGGACAGCATGTTCGACGTCATGAAGCAGTCTGACGTTGTGTTCACTGCCACTGGCAGCGAGGTGCAGCTCTGGTGTGAGTACCCAGAAGTCGAGGAGAAGAATCGCAGCATTTGTTTGGAGTGATCATCTAGCCCGCCTTGCAAGGCTCAATGGGAGTTGAGTGAAGTGGTTCATGGTGGATGGTGGCTGGTGTGGTTGAGTTGCTCTGTTAAGATCCCATGTTATTTCAATCCAGAGGTTCGATTACATCTGATGTGCGAGAGCCCTTGAGCTCTTTGCCAGGTGCCGATCATTCACCCTAAAGACGTCGAAGGACAATGCAAGCCATTCACAAGCCATTCAGAAGCCATTCAGTGTGTTCGCCAGTTGCTGTAAGAGGGCAAACCAAAAGGCGTCTACAGGCATCTACAGGCCCTATGGAGAACAAGATTGAGCCTGAGAGACTTCTACAGCAAGCGGTCGATCATTGCTGTATCAAATCCCAGTTTGTTCCCCTGTGCCGGTGCTTTGAATAGTTTGTTGATTTGAAACGCCAAGCCAAGTAATTAAACCTGATTTGTCTCGAGGCTACTCTGCGGGTGCGCAGGGACTATCCCATCTCAGACAGCAATCTGAAAAGGCCTGTTGTCAGCGTGGTTGTTGAAGAAGGGCTGTTATTGGCTTGAGAATTTCCGTCTTGATGTCGTGCGTAGTTTCTCACACTGCAGGCGGCCAGATAGGGATTCATCATCGTCAGACCTACAACATCTCCGACCATCAAGCCATTGATGCAGCAAGCCATTGTTCCATTTCGAAAAAGAAGGTTTGCTCGCGCACCATTGCATGCTACAAACACAGAGGCAGCTTGTGATCTGTGTATTTTGGGGGGTGTGGGCTGGGTAGCCCAGCACACTTGGGATGTTTTGAATTGCGTGGTCCCTGAGAAGGTCCGGAACCCGTTGCTGGGATGCGGCGTCCAGCGCTTTCTTTCATTGCCAGCTTTGGCAGGGGACTGGGCCGCGTTCTCCTTCGACATCCAACACGCCCACAAGCAAGGAAAGGTTGCCGATGCTGAGCAAGGGTACAGCCTTTTTGCCCTGGGCAAGTGCGCTTACAAGACATGCTTTTTTGGATGTCAGTGGGCTGCCTTGTGATTTTCGGCTCGACAGTTGCACCCCGTTTTGTGTGGATTGGTCATGGGCTGTTTTTCTATGTTGGTGACCTCTGTAGCACCTTTGGCTGCCATGTCTACATTGATGCTATCGGCGCTTGGCGTGCCGCTGAGCTTGGGGAAGTTGGTCGCTTGGGCGTCCTTAGTTTGGATTGGCTAGCTAGCTTGCATGCAGATGCACAGCATGCTTCGCTCCCCGAGAGCAAAGCGAATCGCTTGTTGGACATGCGTGCCGCGCGAGCTGGCGGGGTCATCTGAAACAGTGGAGTAACACGCCTTGGCTGCAGCCTTAGATGCAGTCAGTTTCGGGCGTGCTCTCTTGCACGCATTTGACCACTGCACTGCGCTCATTTCGCGACGATCTGATTATCAGCAGTGACATTCCTGGCGCGGGCGTCAACCGCGAGTGGCGCCTGCGTTCCCTTGGCGGAGAGTCCATGTGCAGCAAATCTTCAGCAGTGCTGCGCAATCCGCGCCTAAAAGCTGGGAAGGTCAGTTTGCTGCGTTCTGTCAGCACCTCCCGTTGCGTGTTCTGGATGCGCCCGGGTCCACGCTGCAGCGGATGCGTTTGCGGAGCAAGACGCGCAGGTCTAGGCAATTAGTGGTTCATGCCTGGGAAAGCCTTGTGCGCCAGCAACATCCTTTGGTTTGAATTTCAGCTTTCGGGTGACGAGCTTCCCCGCTGGCTCCCAGCCTTAACCGACTCGTCACCGCAAAAGCGCATTGCAGCGCCGGAAGCGCTTGCGCTGTTCATGGCTGCAAAGCGGAGCACGCAGTTTGCTCCTTTGGGGGGGTTGTTGCTTTTGCCTGAAGCAAGGACGCGAGCTGCCCCTCATGTTGGTGGACATCTCGGTGCCGCTGAACGTGGCCAAGGGCTGCGAGGATGTGGAGAACGTGGCTCGGAGTAGTTAGCTGGGTTGGTGGTCAAAACGTTAGGTTGCCTCGTGGTTTCCCTTATAACACGCGTTTGGTTCCTCAAGAAAACGTGTGTCAAAAGGAGTTTGGAGCCCCAAAATGGTGGTGCTGGCGTCCCTTTGACTGATCTCAAAGTAGTAGCCTCAAAAACGCCAAAGTGGCCCCAGATGAAATGCACCACAGCATTGCTTCCCAAAGTTCAGCCCCAATCAGCACTATGTGTGCAGAACTTGGAACATGTCGCAACCGCCACATAAAAATCCTGTCTCACGCACAACGCTATCTTCATAGTCCTATTCTGGGCAAGCGGAGGTGGAAAGGCGCGCACGTGCGCAAAGTAAGAGAAGACTGGGGCAGCCCAGCTTTAAAAAGTGTGTTTCTGCAAAAAAGCCGCGTTGCAGCGCAAGATTGGGGGAGTACGGGCGGGACCTTTGATTGGCGGACGGAAAATATGGCAAAAGGAGGAAGCTCCATGATAAGTGCATATGGGGGCTTCTCAAAGTAGTGGTTGTTTTGGTTTGTTGGAATTCCAACCCAAAAAAGGACCATTTGGAGAAACGCTGTCTGTCGCAGCTAGATTCGGCCCTCAGGTCGCTTCCTACTCTGTGGATGATCTGCAGAAGGTCGTTCAGGCATCACACAGCTGCAGACTTGGGTCACAGCTGCCATAGGCTATGGGTACATATTGTTCGTTTTGGAAAGGGGCGGTAGTGTGGCCTGCACCGCACCGTACTGGCCCTTGGCGAAAGACATGAGGTAATCAAGGGCTCATCATAGGCGTGCAAATTGGTGCGTACCCATTTTGGAGCCATTGGGTTGTTCTCACACGGAGGTCCACAGACAAGCACCTAGCTGCAGGCAATCAGAGCTGGGTGTTGTTTCTAGGGGACAATCCGCAGAGACCGACCCTCGGTGTGGCGCTTGACCTCTTGGCCGCTGGCAACAGCCAGAGCACCTTTCTCCAGGCCAACGCGCAGAAGCGCGCAGCAGAAGTAGAAAAGGCCAGAAAGATCATCGGCTGGGGCCTAAGCTGGGAGTGTGCCAGGGATTCAGCACGCGTCAGTTGCAGCAAGTGCTTCGTGTGAGTGAGAATACTGGGATATGCTTCTGGTATTGTCGTCAGGAGACTCCAACAAAACAACACAAGCACAGGCAGAAAGGGAACGGCTCCCAAGACCGACAGAGCATTCACCCACAAGAAGCAGCAGATCTGCTCTCAAATTCTTGAATATGTGAGTCCGTGAGACAACTATCCGAAAAAGCGCTCCGCACTCCATAGCTGTCAAGGCTCTCCACAAGGGCCACGCAATCCAACAGCGCCTAACAGCCTCTGATGAGCTTGTCAGGCTCAAACGCCCCCCCCCTCCACCGAATATGTGTAGAAATATACTGCACAAACATGCCTATCACAGTTTTTTTTGGGGAATCAACCTTCGTCATGGCTACTGGCTGCCGAGCAACTTGCATTTATCAAAATAGCAAGCCCTTGCATTTGACAACTCTGTGTTAAAGAGAAGTCCTGGAGCTCGAAACAAAATCATTTGCCTGGCTATCATCTTTGTCATGAGTTTCATGGCATATCTCGTTTGCATGCGCTAAACGGCCCCGGTAAAGATATTGAAGCTGTCTTGTGATTCGACCACTTCAGCTGGAACAGGAGCTTGTTTGGTTGACGGCTCCATGAGTAACCCCACCGACACCCGCGGTTTGTTTTAACCGAAACAACTAAAACGAGCCCTGGGAGCCATGAGACGCGTGTCTCCTGAGGCGATGAGGTGGGCAAGTTCAAGGTGTGGCAGGCCAGGTGGGTCCCACTCTGGGGGATCTGCGGATGTGTCAAATGCCAGGCTTTTGGTTTGGTGGTTTCACCATAAGAAGTCAAAAAGGGATTCTCAATGAAGACAGCTGGGAATGGCAGCCAACTGTTATTTTCCCGCAGTTCCTTCAACAAGCATGCCATGAAGATGCCTTTCCTTGCTCCTCACTACTAGAACTATCGTCCAAGTTCCTTTTGGGGGCCTGGCTAGCATTCTGCAAACTCGACAGAGTCAGAAATTCAGGCTGAATTGAGGATGCGCCTGAATACAAGACAATGTTTGCTGCTCAGAATCAATTCGTTCGCCTTCGTGCAGCACTGGCAATGATGAAGAGAGACGGGGTTCCAAATGTGTCTTCAGCATTAACATGAGCTACCACATCTACTTTATGTTATTCAGGTATTTGTAGGCCACAAACGTGCTGGATGATCGGTACTCGATTCCACCTTGTGGCAGGCCCCAGACCTCATCAACAATGATCCCATCGTTCGCAGTCTCGTTTGCGTTGAAGCAACTGCCTCCCCCCCCCCGCCCGCACTGCCGATCAATCAGACACTGAGCTTCTTGCACTGGCTCAACTCCAGCAGCCTCCCTGTAAGGTTGAAGAATGGCACCGTGATGCACTAGGGCTCGCCAAAGGAAACAGTAGCATTTGGCCGCAGGCGTCGCAAGGAGCAGTGCCATACCTCGCGGCTTTGCAGGCGAAGGGACGGCTGGATGCGGTTTCTGACCTCGGGATTTAGTGGGATTGCGGGTGGTATACCTTTTCTTTTTGATTGCTGCACCCAGATGGCAGTCTTGGTTAAAGCATGCATCTCGCATTTGATGCAGAGGGTGGTTTTGACAGCCACAGTGTTTGTACAAGTGTCGAAAGGGCCCATCCGTGACACAGGCAACGATTGGATGAAGTCGTGTTGGTGGAGCGGGCTCTGAGAGGACGCCTGATGCGCCTAGTTCAACCCTTGAGACGCCCGTTTGCTCTTGGCATGCTTAAGCTTAGGCAACCAGGTGCAGCGGCCATGTTCAGTCACAGTGTTGATCACATGAGGTCGTTGGTCCCGCGCCAAAAGGTCGATAGCCCATTGCAACCTTGGAAAGGATACCAGAGTGTTCTTTGCAGAACAACCTACCACAAGCCACAAGCCCACACCATGTTTGTGGAATATGGTCTAGTTTGGCTGTCATCCTGAGCCAAATCGGGATGGTAGAGATGGCAAACCTCTGACAAAGCGCGAGAGACTAATATGTGATGTGTGGTTGTTGGTTTTTTGTCTGCTTGTTTCTTTGTTTGTTTGTCGGAGTGTCTCTCTGTTTGTTTGTTTTGGTTTTTTTTGGTTGCTGACACCGCCATCGAGCACCGAGTTGTTTCGTGCATGTTTCGAGCTGTTTGCATGCTTTCGTTGTTCGGTGTCTTTACACGTGAACATAAACACGCTCATGACAGTACGCGCATCCACAAAGGCTGGGCCCATGCTGGCACAAATGATAACAAGCACGCCGCTGCACTCATGCTGGCACAAATGATAATAAGCACGCTTACGCGCATCCACAACTGCTGCACCCATGCTGGCAGCACTGGGAGCATGGTGCTTATGGCAATGTATTTGGCCGCATCCTGGGCGTGCAAGCTCTTAACACACTTGGCTGAAAGAAACAGTTTGTTGAAAGTCTGTTTTGAGCCGTTGTTTGATTGCATTTGCTGAATACACCTCACGGCAGTGTGTCCTGTTAGTTTGTTTGTGTATTTGTGTGTGTGTGTGTTGTTTGCTTGTTTCTTTTTTGTTTGTTTGTGAGTGTCAATTTGATGGCATTCCTTTTACCAAGCCACTTGTGTTGCTGCAAATTACGCAATGGGTCTTTGACGATTTGGACGGAAGGTTTCCTCTGTGAACTGTTGGGTGATGGCCCGGCCAAGTGCTCGTAGCCGAGTGCTCCTAGCCTGGGCTGAGTTTGTTTTGTGGCAGTTTCACTTTGACCCTCATATTGGCGCGGAATTGTGCAATAGGGCCGCATAGGCGATGGCAGAGAGGATCCGCACGACAGAGACCGAGAAGCTCTCCAACAAATTGCAGGCCGGTTGATGGCAGACGAGTTAGGTTATTTCTTGGCGTTCCCTCATCGCCTCCTTTAAAAAAATCGGTGGTTGTTCATTTCAAGGCTCAGCTGGAGGGATGTTTTGCCTTGTTTCAGTCTGACTTGGTGAAGCTTGTCATGGACCAGGCAAAGCCTTTTGTTGGAGATGCTTTGCAATCGACTGGAGGGAGTTCCTTGCTATTTGAAGCGTTCTATATACCATGAATCACACGTTAGTTTACTGGGCTGTGTTAGGGAACTTGGCCTTGGAGCCACATCAAAGCTGAAGCCGAGCACACCAAGTGTGTTTTCTTGGTCCCGAGTTGCAGGCAGACTATAAAGGGCATACAGTTGTTTGAGGCGTGAGCCAAGACAACTAAGGTGTTTCCCCGGATCCTACCAACATTACGGGTCTCCCCGGGTAGTGACTGGCATCGCCGTGAAGAGTGATTGAAAACCTAGGGCTCAACGGAGACTGCAGAGGATTAGCATTTGCATGATCAGACTGTTTGCAAGAGGACAGTGGAAGTTTTAGTGTCGCATTATATTCAACTTGCAACATGACAGCTCGCTTTTTCATTGATAGAGGGGCAAGGGAACTCGTGGCCTCCAACTACACACTGTATGTAGTCAGCACGCTGAATCGAGTAATGACGAAGTGCAAGAGTTGGCAAACTAAGCCCTAAACTGAGTGGCCAGCAAATACAAACACCTAAACCCTGCTGCGTGATTTGATGTGATTCTTGTTGTGTGTCAGATAAGCCTCTGAAACCCTTTGTTAACGATGTCCTTGTTTGCGCCGAACACACCAAACTGCTCCAGAAGAGCAGGTGCTTGCTGTCTAGCTCGGCATCGCAGACGCTAGCATCCACAAAACCAGGCGAGACCCTATAGAACACATGAAGAATAGAGAACACGGTCAACAGCAGGGGTTGTTTTCCCGTGTTCCCTTCAAGATTGTTGGATACAAAAAAGAAAATCATAAGCTTTCATAGGGGGTGTTGCCAAAATCCGGCTGTTTGGCGCAAAGCACCCACGAGCCGGCCCACAGGGTCTCCATGAGAAGGAGAGGGCCTCGGTTGACAAGCTTACAAGGCACATCGCCCGGCACCCAGAGCCCATTTGCTCCTTGAAGCTTACATGCTGCAAGAGCTCCCATGAAGATGTGGGCCCATCGTGGCCCATCTACAGACATGGCAAAAGGGACCCAAGAGGTGTGGGAGCTAGCATGGGCGTCCGCCTTGTCAGGATACTGCTGCTACCGTTGCCTCACCATGTTGCAAATCGTTGGCCATCACAGTGTCTAGTCAAAATGGCTGTCTCATGTGTTCAGACACAAACGAATTGTGTTGCTGCCCTATCCTTGGTCATGTTCTGAGAGCAAGCTGATTTGTATGAGTTGGCATCGAGCCTTGCTCTCACGTTTTCCAGACCAATGTATGTCCTACAACAAAGCAAAATGGTTTCAGCCTCAAGCTGCAATGTGATTTCAGCTTGTTGAGACGAACCGTAAACACGGGGTAGACGCTGACTGTATTAGTATCAATGTTACTTGCACCAAAAGAAGGTTTCAAACTGGTTGCCAAGGCTGTTGTTGTTCAGCCTGCATAACATGTGAGGTTTCTGATGTCCGGCAAAATACGAACATGAAGCTCCCTGGAGCACGGCCGGTGTCCCGTCAAGTTGTCTCCAGTATTTGGAGTTTGCGGCGTTCCGCCAGATGGATCGCGTTTGGCTTGTCTTGTTCCCGTCTTTGCCTGGCTCCGCCATTGGACGCGTCCTTTGCGAAGGCACGGGTTTACGCCGCTTACGAGAGCCTGGGGTTCCCCGAACCCGTGACACGCTAGTACCAGTTGGCTTTTTGCATTGAACCCTTGTGCGAGAACTGCATGAGATGTTGAGTGCTTTAAGGTGGACCAGATCTTCCGACCAATCTACTACTCCATGAAGGCGAGAGCTATGAATGGCATGGGGAGGGAGTTGGAGAAGAATTGCTTGTGCATTTGCCGAAAGCTGGCTGACAGGATGTCTTTAGGAAGCTGGCGATTCAGCTTCATCTTCTTTGCTGCAAAGCAAAGGGAGGTGTTTTTTTTAGAACTCAACCAATTTGGGTACTGCCTGCGCTGGTTGCTGGGTTGGGTAGAAAGAAAAGGCTTTATCAGAGGGGACGACATGCCACCGCGGGCTGGTCTATTCGCATAGCACATGTCTTCTGGTTCCAGCCGTTGAGAGGCCCGCTGCAATCTGTGTGGAAGATCCTGCGCAATCGTAATCCCCGAAAATTACACAAAGATAGTGAACAAGCTTGGTTTAACATGGATTCAATATCTAGCCAGTTTCTCAGCTGCCAAGTACGCGCTCGTGAGCGCAGGAAGACGAGAACATGGAGGAGAAGAAGGAGAAGATCTGGGCTTTGAAGAAAATGCCGTCCTCTCAGATGACAGCTTCGCGGTAACACTGGGTACAGGCTCAAGACGTTCTAGGCCCGGGTTCTTCGTTATGTGAGGACACTGCATGTTTCAGATTCCGAATGAGTTAGCCCGCAAAGAATAGGAGCAATGGTTTGGGCCACAATAGCGGTTTGCTCAGAACCACATGACTCAGGAGCACAAACTTGTGGACCAAATATAATTTGATCTTAAAAAATGTTTCCTCTTTTGTTGTGCCGACGGTCCCAGGCTGATTCAATGTGTAAGTCAGAATCTGTGAGCGTCTTGAAAGGCGCAGCCCGAATCTAGAAAGACACAGCGAGAGAGAGAGAGAGAGAGAGAAAAGTGAGGTTCAAGCTGGAGCCGGTCTACAAGCGAGGTGCGCTTGCACAGGCAGGGCAAGGTTTTGGGGCTTCTTTAAGCTATGGGGTGGGCTAACGGTTTGTGTATGTTCATGCAAGACCATGCAGATTCATTGGTTGATTCGCTGATGAATGAGTATTGCCATCAGAAATTGGAGCACAACATCTTGTCAGAGGCGCTGTAGCTGGGCATGTTAGCGTTGTTTGCTTGAAGGAGTCTTCCTGTACTGACTGCGACTATGAGGATGCCTGTGCGAATCGACCCCACGTTACGACATGCTTTCCAAAGCTGGGAGTTGCCAGTGGCATGAGCAGATACCATTGACTTCATGTTCAATGCCGACAAGCCGGTCCAGACACGACATGCCGTTTGTGTTTTACCCAACTCAGAGACTTTGCACAGTCGCAGCCCGATGTTTATTGCAGGGCCCAGAAAGTCGAGGGCAGCTAAAGCCCTGATGTGCGCACCTCAGATCTCTCTAGGCGTCCGGCATGGGTTGGCATTTGTCACCACGAATTGGTCGGCGGTTTGACGGATTTCTGCACCAGGTTGCTTGTTGTGCAGGGTGTCACCTTCAAAATAGAGCCGGGGGAAGTCATGCGGACATTGAGCTGGGCTTTGCAAAGAGCATATGCCACCCATACAGGAGCTGCGCACGGTTTGCTGGTTGGTTGCATCGGTCAGTGCGTCACTTGCCACCCTAGAGGATAAAGCTGGCTGGTCATTTCGCTCATGTTGCATAAGCCACGGCCAGAGCACGGCCATGCAATCGCCGCAAGGGAATCGATCTACCTTCTCATCGCTAGGCTTCATATCGTTGCAGTCATCGCATGTGAGCAACTTGCACGGCCTTGAGTGAGTCCTTCTGGCAGCCAATCCTGGAGATGTATTCTCGCAAAGTAGCACTGGCAAAGCAAGCTGCACAAGAGTCCTCGAAGAGCGCTGTGCGCAACGAGCAGAATGGCTCAATGGATGTTTGGCGATATTGGCCGGTCAAACTGATTGGCACTGCTCCGTCAAGTAGCTGCAAGAGCTAGCAGCACCAAGCAAGTAAAAGGATAGGCAAAGCAAGAGGCTGCTTTGCTCTTGGAACAGTCTGAATCAGTGGGCTTGGTGGCCTCAATGGTCGGATCAGCCAGATATTTGCCAGATAAGGTATGTTCTGCTTGGGCCCTAGACGCGTGGATTCACCGAGTATCTTATGTAGACGTGTGGGCATGCTTTGATGTGCATCGTCGTGCTGTTTCGTTCCCTGGGAATGAGTTCAGCATTGTTGAGCGGTTTGAGTGAATCAGGCCCATTCTCTCCCGGCAGCAATGTCGGTATTGATGTTGATGTACAATCAACTTCCAGCAGTACCAGGAGCTGTTTGAAGAAGGTCTGTGATTCCTCGCTGTTTGACCCCTTGCTGGTCAGCTACTTGAGATCAGAGTTGCAGTATGCTCCGCTCCATAGTGGCTTGGGAGGTCTCGTGCCTACTTAGGGTTCCAAAGGCCACACGTGAAATCACATGAGTGTTCGTTGAGAACCAGAGCTACCGAGGGCCAGAGCTACAGCCATAGTCGCAAACAGACCTGACAGCTGAGATCAAGCCCCAAGAGGGTGGGGCTTGTAGCTCGAGGCAGTTAGAGAGGCACAGCGAGGGCAGAGCCGCAGCTGTGGTCTTGAGAGCCGCAGTGGGACAGCCGGGGTGGAGTTGCAGCAGGTCAGGCCAGCCACACAGTGTGGCCTACTCGGATGATCCCTATGAGCTAAACAGGGCCGACCGCTTCCCGGCCCCGGGAGCCGAGGCGAAGTTCATCACTCACCTCAGCGATAACATAGGAGGCAAAGCAATGCGCGCGCTGAAAGCACAATTCTTCCAGATAACCCCAATCATTGAGATGATCCGTTGTCCAGCATTTGCGTGGCCCCTTGTTGAGGCTGCCAGTCGTACTTGTTCAGCAAGCTGACCGAATGCCCAGGTGAGCCATGTTCACCAGTTTGTCGCGCGCAGGTTTCACCACATGGAGCACCTAACATCTTCGATCACATGACATACATAATCAAGGCAGCAGAGCATTCAGCTACAGAAGCATTGCATGACCAAGTAATAATGGGTTAAGGATTGGGTTTTTGTTTGCTGACAAATTGGGATCAATCCAGCTTGTTATGAGGAATTGTCACAACTGAAGTTGCTGTTATAACTTGATTCAAGGAACCAAGCAAACCATTAGCGCAGGCGATAGTGTGTTTGGTTGGCCACGAGGAATAGTCTCAAAAAGAGCTGCATCACATGTTGAAGTTCTTTGTAGCACTCAGAGAGGGCAGAAACGCGTTTTGAACACGACCATTCAAAATCCAGTACCTTAAGGACTCCCAGTACCATGTGATGTGTTGTTGCTGATGCTCACGACTTGAAATGGTGTTGCAAGCACAACTCACATAAGGCTTAGCAGATGGCGCAATCCAGTTTTTCCCTCGAGGGAAGTTCTGCCTGTGATGTTTGGGGCACTGCTCAAAAGGAAGACCAGCACTTTTAATGCCCGCCGCTTGAGCAGCGGGCATTTTATTCTCCCGAAGGCGTCAATCGCCGCCAGCCGATGTGTTCATGTCACTGGTGAAAGCGTGTTTGCGTGCCTTGGGGCTGAAAGCCATGCCTGGCCATGTGCCTCAGAACAGCCCAAGAACGAGTAAAGCCAGCCAACAAGCTGCTCTGGGAGCCTCGCAACAGCTCTTGGTGGAGCCTACAAGACGACAAGATGCCATTTGCAAAGTGTCCGTCTGATTTGTTTGATCAAAACGTGCCACTCCAGAGCTGCGCTGCTTCACCAGCTGTGTGTTTCATGTTATCGGTTAAATAGGTGGGCCAGGCCAGTGACAGCTCAGCTGCCTGGTTTCCAATGGCCATGAGCCAGCGAGTCTGCGGCATGCCACACGCGAGGCGTGTCTTGAATCAGGAACACGATATGTCCATCAAACAAAGTCTATGAAACCTATCCATGTGTCAGGGACAAAGACAACCCAGGAAATGTAAAGAAGTCATGTTGGTCATGCTGTGGTACACTGAGTTGCGAGCTGGGAAGCCATGGAAAAGAGCAAGAACTCTTTTGCCTGTTGGCTATCCTTTCTCCAGCATCCAAGGCAACCTGACGTGGAGATCTTGCGATACCGAGAAGCAAATTGCGATTGCCGCGATAGGGAGCCTTGGATGTCAGACTGCCCCATGTGGACTGAAGGCATCGTTCTGCCATCACGTCTGGCCTTTGGGCAGATCACCCGTGCGACAGTGCAAAACGTTTGGCGCCCATGGCTCTGGCAGAGTGCTGCGAGTGAAAGTAAATTGTAGCTACTGAGGCAGTGTTTAATTTCGGTATCGCTTGCCCCCAAACTGATTGCAAGGCACCCTGGGCTTGGAAATACTTGTATCGAGTGCCGCGGGCCTTGCGATTAGAACGGGTGTGCCCATGTCCGTTGTCGGTAGCTATGCAACATGGAAGCCGACCACAGCTCCATGCTGCTGTCCTTTGGGAAGCCTCGCAGCCTGGCCCATGGAAGGGCATTGGAAGCAGGGCTCCATGCCTCAGAGTCTACAGGCATGAGGAAGAGGAAGGTTTGATCAATCCGAACCCGCGTTGCCAATCATATTGCAAATGAAACAGGAAAGAAGCTCTCGCGAGGATAGAGCAGAGATGAGAATGCAATGCACATAGCGCAGAGTTGGCAACTAGAATCCATCTTATATCAGGCAAGGCACTCAAGTGTAGTGCGCATCAAAGGGTGCTTCCGAGGGAGGCATGAGAATGGTGGGAACTTCATAGGCCCACGGCTCATCCAATACAATCATTGCTGTCAATTGAATATTTGCCTCCCCACTGGTGCAGTCAAGCAGTGCGTGGTGCAGTCTCCCAGTAAGCAGTCAAGCAACACTGCAAAAAGAAAGGTGCCTAATAGGAATTATTCTTAAACAAGCAAGGACGAGCAGTTCGTCACAAGCGCCCCTGCCAATATTGCGCTGAGGTCAGTGAAATGCAGGGGCACAAGCAACAGCACTACTTCCTAGTGTCATGAGGGAACGGTACCAGTTGCTTGGTTCTGTGGCACAACCCAAGCATTCATCGAGCACCTCCCAAGAGCTGGTAGAAGCCAGCCAGCGACTCCCGCTGTTTGGCCGGCGATGGTCTCGTTGCACGTGGTCGCTTGGGCTGCCCAGGCACGCAGCACGCATGGGAGTGAGAGATTGGGGGTTGGGTCCGAAACTCCAGCGCAGCTGTTTGACTCTGGATTATTTCGATCAACTTCTTGTTGGAACACGCTCCGAAGACTGTTGAGGACGAAGCTTTTTTTCCGAATTGGTGTACTCTGTGGAGACATTGATGGCATGCACGGAAAGTGAACAAGCAGGGGCGGAAGCATGTTGGGCCGCTTGCAAGAAATGGCACAATAGGAGCCTGCATGCATGTATTCAGTCAAGCATGCATGCATGCGTTCATCCATCCATCCATGCATTCATCCATCCATGCATGCATTCATTCATTCATTCATGCATGCATGCATGCATGCATGCATGCATTTATGAGAATCGTAAAGAAAGCCTTGGCCTTTTGCCTGTGGATTGACAAGCAGGCCGCCTCCTTTGAAGTCCCGTATGTGTCAAGACTCGTGGGCGAACTGTAGTCTAAGTAGCTAGCAAGCAGGTTTGTACCTGAGACGCCCGTTCACAATTCACAATGCCGCAGTCAGCCTGAACAAGAGATCATTCTTGCGCCGCTTCTGGTACCAAGACAAACAAAGCTACAGCTTAATGTCTCGGTTAGAACGGAGGATGCAGCATGCCCGGAATTTAGGGGTTGTGTTGATTAAATTTGCACATGACGCATGTCCGGGGATGGCCCGCCCCGCCCGCGACTATCAACCCTCGTAAAGCGTTGGTTGCACGCTTTCAGCGTTTGCAAAGTGCAATCTCGAAGTATTTGTTTTGTTGTCGAGCCAACGGCACTGTCCCTCGCACGTCCGTGTGCGTTTATATTACTATCTATATGGGTTCCCCGAATCATACCCCCGAATCATACCCCCGAATCATACCCCTTATAACGTATGCTGCAAGATGCTACTGTTCTTCTACCGTTTTGTGTTGTTCACTGCCTCCACAACAATCACCACCAGCAGTACTCAATACTACCACTACTACTACTACTACTACTGCTACTACTCCAACTACTACTCCAATTACTACTACTACTACTGCTACTACCACTACTACTACTACTACTACTACTACTACTACTACTACTACTGCTACTACCGCGACTACGAGTATTACTACCACTACCACTGCTACTACCGCTGCTACTACTACTCTACTGCTTCTACTTCACCCTTACTACCAACTACTACTACTACGACTACTATTTTCACTAATACTACTACGACTACAACCCTTACTACTACTACTACTACTACGACTACAACCTTTACTACTACTACTACTACTACTACTACTACTACTACTACTACTACTACTACTACTACTACTACTACTACTACTACTACTACTTCTACTACTACTACTACTACTACTGCTGCTGCTGCTACTACTCACTACTACTTCATACATCATTCTGAGTCTGTAATCAGTGCCGCTTTGCACCTAGCCGAATCATACCCGCGAATCATACCCGAATCATACCCGGACAACGAGCTCCCCCTGCCAAGGCTAGTGCCAAGTCTTTTTCAAAGCGTCTGCACCACTACAGCCGCTGCTGCTTATACTACAGCTGCGACCACGACTTCTGCAACTGCTACTACTACTACTACCACTACTACTGCTACTACTACTACTACTAACAGAGCTACTACATTCATCATTCTGAGTTTGTAATCTGTGCCGTTTTGCACCTAGCCGAATCAGACCCGCGAATCATACCCGAATCATACCCGCGCAATGAACTTGCCTTGCCAAGGCCAGCGCCAAGTCTTTTCAAAGCTTCCGCGCCACTACAGTCGCTGCTTGTACTATTACTACTACTACTACTACTACTACTACTACTACTACTACTACTACT